ATGCTAAAAGCATGTACCGAGACTTTAGATCTTGATTCAGATGTTGAAATAAAGGACATTAATGATAAATGCCATGGATTCATGGCTGCGGATGTCGTTTCGTTATGTAGAATGGCTGCCGAGCATGGTGATTCTAGAAGCATTCAGCAAACTGGTTTAATTATTTTTTTTTTTTAAAAAAAAAAAAAAAAAAAAAAAAAAAATCATGAAATTTTTTATAAATAATATATTTTTTTTAATCTTATATCTATACATGGAAAATATAGGAAAACCATGTGAACTAAAAATTTCTAATGATGATTTTCTATACGGGTTGCAAAAAATTCGAATTAGTGGTCTGCAAGAAAAGAATAGTGTTCAGAGAATTGAATCAGTGAGATGGTCTGATATTGGCGGGTTGGAAGAAGCAAAGGTAGGATTATTTTGGTATTTAGTCTTTAAAAAAACATTACTATCATTTGAAACAATTTTATTAGAACATACTGGAGGAGTCAGTAATTTGGATATATAAACACGTTGATGCTTTTCACCATCTTGGAATAAAACCTTCTAAAGGTGTTTTACTGTGAGTTCATCTTTTATTACTATATATTATTTTTATCTCACTTCACTGCTTCTTTTCATAATACAAATATTTCTTTTTAATTATTATTATTATTGTGAAAAATTTATAGTTATGGTCCGCCAGGTACGGGTAAAACTCTACTCGCCAAAGCAGTGGCCACAGAATCTTCCGCCCATTTTATACCAGTTTCAATACCAGATTTGATCAAAAGCGAGGTAAGCAATCCTCAGAAACATGTTTATGCCTCAATTCGTTAATTGACAACATTATGTAGTAATAATATTCATAATTCACTAATTTTGATTTGATGTTTCAAGGTTGGAGAATCCGAGAAGGCAATATCTAATATATTTAAAATAGCGCGTCGATGTAGTCCTTGTATAATATTTTTGGATGAATTGGAAGCGATGTTTGGAAGTAAAGACTCTAGTGGCAGTTTTGGTATAAAGGTAATTTTATTACATTGATATTTATAAAAAAAGGTTTTTTATTCTAAATTAGTGATATGATGACATATTTGTTTCATAGATTATATCACAACTTTCGTTGGAATTAGATGAATTGGATTCAGTAAGTCAAGGAGTTGTTGTACTTGCTGCAACAAATAATCCAAGAATTATTGATCCCTCTTTATTAAGACCCGGTAAGTCCACAATGTCAGATTGTTATCGTCCACCAAAATTAATACATTTTCGAAATTTATCATTGTCTTTTATGTTAAATTAGGTCGCATTGATAAGTTAGTTTATATTAAACCGCCATCATTTCATGAAAGAATTTCAATTTTACAAATGCAAAATACCAAAACGAAATTTTCTAAAAATGTAAACTTTAATGAAATTGCTGAAAAAACTGAAAATTTTACTGGAGCTGATTTAAAAGCTTTAGTACAAAGGGCTGCTCTTTTGAGATTTAAGAAATGTAGGGCTAGTAAACATCAATTAAATTTAGATGTTGAGGTACTTGGAAATAGACTGTTATCAAAATTTGTAAATCGATGGTTATAATGCATAATTAATTAATTATTTGTTTATTTTATTTTTTTTATACGTAGAACAATATCGATCAAGCAGATCTTTTAGAAGCACTTTCAAAATTTAATTCTTCCGTTAATTCATCACAGCTTGATATGTATAAAAATTTTTCAAATTTTTAAATTAATATTTGTTAACGCCAGTCAAAAAAATTTCGCAGATCACGTGACTGATCTTCGCGGGATTTTCCGATATTAATAAATAAAATAATAAAATAGATAAAATTCGGTGTTAAAAACTGAGATTTAATAGATTAGTTGCATACCTAAAATTCAACAAACCAAAAATCACTAAGAATTTTACTAATAAAATTCTTAGCCCATAAGTTCTAAAATCAATTCGAAATTAAAAATCTATTGTTTAGCATAAGATTAATGAACAATATTTGTGGATAATCCGGACTCTTATTGCTATTCGAATAACAGTTAAGCATAAATCTACTTTCGAATTTACATATTTATTGCTTTATCGATGTTAACTTTTTCATACCTGAAACGTTCGAAAAATTATGTCCAAGATAACGTCTATGTTCAATGCAATATACTGTATATAGTGTATATAATTAATTGTATGTAGTACCTACGTATTATTATTAATACAAGTACAATACCTGATATCGATAATAATTTTTTTTAAAAAAAGTTCATTATACGTAGAGTGTGATCATTATAAAAAGGTTCATTATATCCAGAGTTGACTGTATCTCGAACTTTCTCGGCACCCACGCCTGTATCTTAAGCTTGAATGTAGGGTTGGGGCACGGTGTCCCAAGGCATGTCTCAGGGGCATGCCCAGGGAGGCATGCCCTTTGGCTAAAAGACATGCCTCCTACTGAAAAACCTCACATATGAAGTTTCGTTGATTTGATTGGTCAATTATCATAGTCGATTTGATATAAGGTTAATCAATTATGATATCTAGAGAGGGCATGCCCAAAAAATTTTCCGTGCCCCCAACCCTACTTGAATGACTAGCTTTCCTAAATCATCCGACCATTTACTACATACATGGCCAAGCTTTAGTTAAATCGACTAAGGGTGTTTTCAAACAGGGATGGTAAATGACCTGGTCATTTACTCAAAATTTAAATGACCTGGTCATTTGGGTAAATGACCAGGTCATTTAGGGTCATTAGGTCATTTGGGTCATTTGCATTTGAAGTTAGATAGCTAATATAAAAAGATATTGAATGCTATAATTTTACTAATCGATAGTCGTAGGTACATATAAAAGTCTAAATTTTACTAAGTTAATTGATATTTACATATTAAGTAAAGTTGTTCAGGAGAACAAATTACATCTATTTTGAAATGTTCATGTAATTTTAATAACTTTTTATTAAGTCATTTTTATATTTTACGGTTATATGAAAAAATTTAAAATTTTTTTTATATAAACGTAAAACGCAAAAACAACTTAATAAAAAGTTATTAAAATTACATGAAAATTTCAAGATAGATGTAATTTGTTCTCCTGAACAACTTTTCTTAATATGCAAATATCGACTAATTTAATTAAATTTTGACTTTATATGTACCTACTATTATAGATCGTAATTATAAAAATTGCCTTTTGTCTAATAATTAATTCTGATTGGTTAAAAGGGATTGGATTATTAGTTAACAAATGTTAAATGGGTCATTTGAATGTGAACTGACCCAATGACTGGTCACTAGTCATTAGGGTCATTTCAGGTCATTTACCATCCCTGTTTTCAAACACCTCAATCATAGCTAAATCAATGGATCGGAGATCAATTTTTAATTAGTAAAAAACAGCGAAAAATAATTTTCACTAATTAAAAACTGGTCTTCCGATCCATTGATTTAGCTATGATTGAGGTGCTTGAGAACACCCTAAGTAGATTTTTTAAAAAATCGACTGACTTAGCCGACTAAGTTGATTTTATCGACTAAAGTCAAATTGACTACAAACACTAACAACAAATATGCTACGTATACTTCAATGCCACCACTTAATTCGCCATCTAACCCGTTCGAACTGTCTTGATAGGTTTGCTGATATATCAATGGAGTTCAGTTTAATCGGTTTTGGTTTGACATCCAATAGTCGCATTATCTGAATAATATAACAATTTGGAGTTCCAGGTGCGAGTTTAGTACTAAACATTCTCCATATCTGCTGCTTGTGCGAACGCTTGACCCTTGTAGACTTCAGGAGCAAGACACTCGT